AGACTCGGAATCAATGTCTCAGTCTTACTTGTTGTGTAATCTTGGCCAAGTCACTTAATCCTTCCTGCCTTAGTTACAACATCATCGCTGTAATGGAAATGGTGTAAACCATTCCTGTCCAAAGGTCAGAAGTAGCCCAGTTGTCTCGTTATCTACTTTTGATCTCGTTTAGAACATTTTGAGTCTAAGATATATGAGGCTATATCCTGGATCATGAATTATGTGTCCATTACTGCCCTTTTATAATGTGGTAAACAGAGCAGTATCTGAAAACATTTTACCCAGCAAGAAATTCATGTTTCTATTCTATTTGTTGCCTTTTGAGTTACAGCTTCAGACATTACTTTGACAGTATCCTCGGGTAGTTTTTCTCCATTAATATCTATAAACAAAAATTATTAAATTTTCTTTGAAATCTTAGCTCTTATCATCTAACTGCATGTCTAGTCCTCATACAATCATCATTAATCTTGATTTCCAGAATACATCTATCAGTTTTCTAGTTTCCTGTATCTTTACTCCTGTGGTTCTTTCTATCTGAACAAACCTCCCAACTCCTAGAATGGCTACCATCTCTAAGTGCTGCTCAAATGCCACATCCTCCCTGAAACTCCCTACAAACAACTTAACCCAGAATTAATCTTTCCCTTTTCTATGATCCACAGAAATGTGTTGGCCTCTTCTATATTACCCACAATAGTCTTCTTCATATTATTACTACTTGTAGGTCTCTTGTCATCCTTATTATACTGTAAGCATCTTGAAGGCAAGATCCAGAGTTGCCCATTGCCACATTAGATAGTGGTAGGGGAGTATCGGGGTTACAGCCATGAGCTTAAATCACATTGCCAAATCTAAAATCTGCTTACACAACGTACTAGCTGCATGACCTTAAGCAATTACTTCAACTTTCTAGTCTATTAATTATCACACCTGTACCTACCACATAGGGATCTTGTGAGAATCCAGTGACCTATTCCATGTAAAGTGCTTATCAAGTATCTAGCAAATTCTAGGTGTGTAATAGATGTTCACTACAGTGCTTATGATGAGGTCTCCTCATTACTTATTCAATAAATGTTTATTGAGTGCTGTATTAGTCCGCACAGGCTGTTATTAAAAATATACCATAGACTGGATGGCAGTAAATATTTGCTTCTTACAATTCTGGAGGCTGGGAAGTCTAAGGTCATGGTGGCTGCTAATTTGGTTCCTGGTGGGGAGTCTCTTCTTGGCTTGTAGATGGCCCCTTTCTTGCTGTGTCCTCATACAGAAGAAAGAAGGGGATCTCTCTCCTTTTGTCTTTTTGTAAACCTGCTAATCTCATCAGCTCATCTAACCCTAATTACCTCCTAAAGGTGCCATCTCTAAATACCATCGCATTGAGGATTAGGGCTTCAACATAAGCGTTTTGGAGCGGGTGAACATATTTCAGTCCACAGCAAGTACCTACACATTTACTAGGCAGATTTAATGATAGAGCAATAAGCCAAACAGATAAAAATTCCTGTCTTGTGAAGTTTATGTTCTAATGGAAAGAGTAAGGCTGTGTGATAAACAAAACAATGGACCCCAAAGATGTCCATATTCTTATCTCCAAGACCTGTGAATATGTTACATTATGTGGCAACGGGGAATTAGGTTACGGGTGGAATTAAGGTCACTACCGATCATAACATGTGGAGATAATCCTGGATTATTTGGATAGCTTTGAGGTAATCACAACAGACCTTACAAAAAGAAGAGGACAGAAAAGCCAGAATGATGCAGTATAGAAAGGACTCTATCTGCTGTTGATAGTTTTGAAGACAGAAAAGGGACCATGAGTCAAGGAATGCAGGAGGCCTCTTGAAGCTGATAAAAACAAGGAAACTGATTCTCCCCTATAGACTTCATAGAAATGCAGCCAGGCCAACACCTTGACTTTAGCCCTATGAGAACTGAGACTTTTAACCTTCTAAACTGTAAGATAATAAATCTGAATTGTTTTAAGCCACTAAGTTTGTGGTAATTTGTTACAGCAGCCATAGAAACACAGGCAGTATATATATCAGATGCAATAAATCCTATGGAGAAAATTGGAGCAGGGAAAGTGGATAGGGAGTGTTAAAAGAGGGTGACTATAATTTTAAACAGAGTTGAAAGGGGAAGCCTCTGGTGACTTTTGAGCAAAGAGTTTAAGGAGGTAAGCTAGTAAGTAATGAAGTATCTGAGGAAAGTGTTTCTGGCAGAAGGCACAGCAAGTATAAAGGCCCTGCAGCAGGAGCTTACCCGGCATTTCTGTGAACCACAGAGGGCAGAGCGGGTGTAGTGGAATTTGTGATGAGGAAGGTCGTAGGAGATGAGGACAGTGATAAAGAAGTGCCCGTTGGTGTTGGTTTTACTCTGAGTAAGACTAGAAACACAAGGAGGATTTTGAGTGGCAGAGTGACATAATGTGGCGTATTGAATCACATTGGCTGCTGTAGTGGGAACAGAACATACAGGGCAGAAAAGAAGCAGGGGGACCCATTAGGATGCTATTGGTATTTTTGGTTTTGACCAGGGTGGTATCTGTGGAGGTGGTGAATAGAGATCTGCCCTTGGATATCTTTTGAAGGTTAAACCAACATGATTTGCTGACAGACAAGAGGTGGATTATATAAGAAGAAAAGTTAAATATGATTCTGTAATTTGGGGCCTTAAGTAACTGAAAGGTTGGAGTGGCCATTCGCTTAGAGGGAGAAGATAGCAGCTGGAACGAGTTTGAGGTAGAGAATCCATTCAGTTTGGGTGAACTTTGATACCTGAATCTCCCCTTCCCCCCATTCTTTCCCTTCAGATTGTTTTCCTATAGAAGCAAAAAAGCGTATTCATAAAGATTAATACAGGGAGAAACATATCCGACTCAGCTCATGATGAAGCCAATTTGCTATACAACAGCCAAGCAAAGTGCTGATGAAAGCTGGATATGAAACTGAGATGTAGCCCAGGATGCTGTAGATTGAAAGTTTGTGTCCTCCCGAAATTCATGCGTTGATTCTTAACCCCAAGGTGGTGGTATTTGGAGGCGGAGCCTTTGGAAGATCGTGAGGACAGAACTGTTATAAATGGGATTAGTGCCTGTATAAATAAGACCCAAGAAAGCTTCCCTGCCACCTTCTACATGAAGATATAGCAAAAAGATGTCTATGAGGAAATAGGCCTTCACCTAACACTGAATCTGCTGGTGCCTTGATCTTGGACTCCTCAGCCTCCAGAACTGTGAGAAATAAATTTCCCCTCTATAAGTCATCCAGTCCATGGTATATTTTTATAGCAGCCTGAACAGACTAAGACACAGGAGGACCTAGGAGGGCTTGAATTTTAAATGCTGGCCCATCCTCTTCCAGCCACCAGGTACCAGCTGAGCAGCTAGACAGGGAGTGGGTGAGAGCTGGGGCACCATTGATCACACTGACCCCACTCCTGGTGAAAGTTACCCAGGAAACACCTAAATTCCTCCTAATCACCAGCTTTACCTTTCCTGCCCAGGGAAGGAGCCGCTAAGACCTAAGGTCATGAAAGTGGGAAAGGTTTTCTTTTCCCTACAAGCAAGGATCGAATGCCTTCTTTGGCCTGAAAGTCCTGAAACTTGGATCTCAATATTTGGCCTTAGTTTCTGAGACAAGAAACTTTATTTTTCCTCTTTTCGGGACAGGACAGAAAAGATCATGTAATGAGAATTCTTAGGCAGGCAGCAGCCTCTTCATAGAGACTACTGAGTGACAGAGAAGGACTATTAAACATAAACTAGAGTAGTTAAGAGATACTTCCTTTCTAATAATTCTGGATGAAGAAGAGTTCACTGATTGCCATGAGGCTAAAAGATCAACAGGAGCTTTAAAAGCAGTGACTAGGTTTTGAGGCAATTTGGAAATAAGATTGCATTAATAAATGATGACCAGAAACATTGCTTAGTGACTGGATTCTTGTACCTGTCTTTTATTTTTCTCTCATCATGTTTGAGTTTTATATTCACAATCTCCAATATCTGCATTCCTCAAGTGACACAGAATTAAATGGAATCATTTAATCCAGTGTTGATATCATTAGAACATGGCTATTAATTAAACATTTCTTGCAACACCAGAAATAACTTGATATTGCAAAGGATGTGCATGTTTTTAGAGGTTCTCATGTACGAGCAGTGGAAACCACTTTTGAGGGAGGGATATTTTCTTTACATATGCTAATTTTTATTTATTTTCATAATTCTTTAAATTGTGTAGTAAGAATTACAAAATGCAATACTTAGTCAAAAGTAATAAAATACTTTTATTTCCTTAATCGATATGCATGAAGATGCAATCATACAGGAAATAAAAGAGGTGTGGAAGACTCATTTTTTTTTTCCTTCAGGAAGCTTACTTAGTATTTAATGACTCCTATTATGAACTACAAATACTTTCTATGTTTAGTTTACCGCTTACAACCACCCTGCAAGGTAGATATTGCTCTTTCCAACTTACAGAATAGAATACTGAGGCTTATGGGTCATAGATCAAGATCACACAAGCAGAAAGTGGGAGGCTATGGGTTGGGTTTCAAAGTCCATGCTCATTTCATGACTCCCAGCTTGTTCTACTAAATCCAGTAGAATCTCAAAGTATTTTTCAATGATCAATGCTCCCCTTGTCAGTCAGAACATGGGATTTTTTAAGTCAGAACATCTTGGAGAAGATTAAGGGGTTCCCTCTCTATAGGTCCCATGGTGCCTTGAATGTGGCCTTGTGGACCCGGAACGTAGCTTTTCTGATCTGGTATCTTCTCCCCGCCCTGGCCAAGAAGGTCATTGTCTTCTTAAGGCTGTGAGCCCGGTAGATTGTCCACTCCCCACCTCTCTTTTCTGAGGGTAGATGACCCAAAGGCGACCTGACTTATTTCCCCCACGGAGCTGCCATTCCGTCAGCGTCCGCCAGGAGGTCCCCTCCGGCGCCCCGGCGCGATCGCCGCCTTGAGTGCAAGCGGGGGCTACTTTGGAGCAGCGGCGGCCGCAGCTGGAGCCCAGCGCTCTCTCGCCCGCGCGCTCGCTGGTCCCCGAGTCCCTGGCGTGGATCCGTAAGAGTCGCCCCTCCTGCCCCGAGCTCACCCTCTTCCTTCCGCGCCGGCTGCAGTTTACCCGGCTGCGCAGGAACCCGACAGGGCCCCGGGCTGAAGGTGAAACCCCACGGTGAGTGAGAACCCGCTCCGAGCGAGGGCGGTGGCGCCGCCCGGCTGCCGCTCGTTCCCGGTCGCGCCCAGGCGGGCGGAGGTGCCGGGCACACCTGGGGGCGGGGGCGGCGGAGGAGCGGGAGGCGGCCGACCCCGCTTCCCTGCCCGCCCTCCTCGCGCCTCCGGACTTGGAATGTGCTTCAGACCCTTGCCCGCGGCTCGGCTTCTGGCCGGCTCCTCGCGCGCCCTTCCTGGGCTCCAGGGCCTTGATTTTAAAGGCTATATCAATAAAATCCATCTACCTTCGGGGTACGAATCTGTCCCCGAACACACCCTGAATCGAAGATGACTGCAGGGTGCGCGTTGGGCTGTGGGCGGCGGGAAGACAAACTTTTACAAAAGTGTTCCTGGGCCGGGGGGCAACGTGTAGGGCGTCTCGATCTCGAAGGAGGAGGCTCGGCTTGGGGCTGCGAAGGGGAACTCCGCTCTCCCGGCCAGGTGGCCCTCTGAACTGTTAGTGCTTCTCGGGGCGAAAGGGTGTGTAAAGGACTTACCAACCCTGCTGAACTCCAGAGCCGACAACTGTCAAACATCTGGAATGCCGGCCCCTCCCTTCCCCTCTACTGAGAAAAAAGGTGAAAACGCTTCCACTGTCCTTTGATTGCTCCTCCCTGCCTTTGGACTCCTCTCGGAAGGGTGAAAGGGCTGAGAAGTAGGTACCGGAGACCCCGAACTCCTCAGAGCCCTCCTTCACCCATCCTCCTGACCACCCTGCCCCCCATCCCGCCGAGACGTCCTTTCCGCGGGGACCACGCGACAGAGCCGATTGAGATCGCGGCGAATGGCCTTTTGTTTCTCCGTCTTCCCCTATTGTGTGCCTTACCAACATCTGGCGGGGCTGGGGGCGAGAAAGAAGCCCCTAGAATCCTCCACTCCCGCCCCCCCACGCCAGCCCCCCGGCCAGCTCCAGCCCGGGGTCCCGACCCCAGCGTGGCTGCCCCACCCCTGCCTTGCGGCTACGGGGCGGAGGGAAAGTTGTTCCTGCCCCGCCTCCTCGGCTGCCTCTGGCCCAGGGCGCATTTCTCAGATCTTATCCCACGCGCGCCGCAAAGGGCGCAGATCCGAAAGGGGTGCTGCTTTCGAGAGAGTGGAAGCGAGGTTCCGCTCCATGCCAGGGTGTCCTTGCGTGGGTTCCGGCGGATTTCAGTCTCCGCATAAAGGCGCCGGACAGAATCAGGGCACCTCTGACAGGCAGAAAGCCGAGGGTCTGAGATCTGGGAGTCTCCAAGGGCTGGAGAGCAGGCGAGGCGCCTTAAAGAGAATGAGGAGGAAAATAACCAAGGAAACCTCAAGCCTTTCTCTAGAAATCATGGTGAGGTGGGCCCCTTCCAGAATGAATGTGGCATTCTGACTTCGCGTAGGGCTCCAAGTTTAAATCCCAGCCCCGCTCTCCGCATTTAGAAGAGGAGGACGCGCGAGACGCGGCGCATACGCAGTCAAGGCAGTATTCACGCATCCAAGTCCCTGCGAACGGGTGGTTTGCGACTGGCCCCAAGTTTCCCTGTGGATGTCCGCCTGTTAGATTGCAGGTGGCCCTATTGCCTTGCCTTCCCTTTACGAGTTAGACTGCTTACACGTAGTGCTTGTTCTTAGTGAGTGTGGGTTATTTATTAGGGAACCAGGGCAAAAACCAAGTAGCCACTTTCGGATGGTGCCCAGAAAGGCTCTCTGGCTGTGAGGGGAGGCGGAGTCTGTGCACCTGTGGCTATACCTTCTGATACAGAACATGCACCGGTGTTGCCAGCTTTTTCTGGGGGAACCCCCAATCAACCCCTCTTCCAAGGAGACTCAGTTACACTCTTTTTATCCTTCCCCCAAGGCAGGGGAAGGAGGAAGTTTCCATCTGAACACTTGCCACCTATGTACCCACTCAGGCATTGTAAGTGCAAACTTTGCTCTGCAGTTCTAAGAGTACGCCCTTTACCTTAGTTATCAGAACTTTGGAGCTTACACTTAATAAAGGGGAACAGAGAAGGTTGCTAAATCGGGAAGGTGGACACATAGAGCACTTTCTCCAGTGACTTCTGGATAGCACAAGTGGGGCCAACAGAAAAGTGAAGTCTTTGAAGCACCTGAAGTCACTTTACAGACACTTCACTTTGAAAATCATCCCCAAGGAAGGATTCCTTTGAAATTTAGCAGCAGTACCAGGGGAGAAGTGGCAAGAAGGACCTGGGTTGCTCAAGAAGTGCCCAGAGGCATCTTCAGCAAAGCAAAAGGGCAGTGCTGGTCCCAGCTACCCCAGTAAGGAAAACAGGGTAATTGTAGTAGACACTAAGTTTCTTTAATTTTAGAATTAAAAAAAAAAAATCCCTCCCCCAATTGTTGTAGGAAATAGAAAATACAGAGAGGTGACAGTGAAAACAAAGGGAAGAGGAATATTATTAAAAAAGTTTCCAGTGAACAATCTTAAGCAATTACTTGGAATAAATTTCTGAAGATAGGATAGCTGGGTCAAGGGAGCTGCTGACTTTTTAGGGCAGCTAAGATTGCCTTGTCCTGGCCTGCATGGCTCAGCTGGCTGGCGCATCATCCGTGGCACTGAAGGGTCATGGGTTGGTTTCCTGGTCAGGGCACATAATGGCCGGTTCTGGGTTCAGGTCACCTGGCAGGGGCATGTGCAGGAAGCAACCAATCAATGTTTCTCTCTCACATCCATGTTTCTCTTTCTCTAAAATCAATTTTTTTAAAAAAAGATCACCTTGTTGTGCTGGAGGAAACATATGCCAGTTTACCCTCTCCCCAACAATAGACAAAGGATTTTTTCCAATACACTATACCCCACTCATACTCTATAGTATCATACTTTTTCATCTCTGCCAGATGAATGGGAGGGGAGTATCTTAGTGTCTTCTTTTACATTTCTTTAATCATACATGAGATGAAATATACCTTGTCTGATTGTATTTCTTCCTTAGGGATGATGCCAGTTTGTCTTCTTACCTATTTTTCAGTGGCCATGTTCTCCCTTTTCTGGCCATAGGTGTTCTCAGTAAAAGCACACTGTTCTGACATCTGCCCCTGCTCATACAATCAGACGATCTTTATTGACTTGAAGTGCCAATTCTCTTCCCTCTTGAACAGCAAACATTTGGCAAGACTGCAAATATAAATTACTAAAGTAACTGACATGATCCTAGTAGAGTTATTAGGGAGGCCACACAATGACATTATTCAGTTCAAGGGAATTATCAAGTGCATGCTTTTTGCTTAGTAGCTTGCATACCCCAACTCCTTTAGTTTCTAATGCTGTTGTTTGTTTGTTTTCCGTGTAGAACAACTGTTGATGAGTTGTTTTTACTAAATAGACGACACTAACTCACTTTATGGTCTGATCCTTCCACTGATAACCAGCATATCATGACCCACAACTTGTTCTTGTTCTTTTAATCATTTCTTTTAATTTTTTGACTGAATGTTGCCTTAGTTTTATCATAAGACTTTCTCTGTTTGGCTATGCATTTTGAGTCCTGTACTTGGATGAATCTTGAATCTGAACAATTTTAGCAGCATACTGTTAAAACAAATAGCAGGAGGTATCTCCCTGGGGCTGAACCAGGTACATTAAACCCTCTTGTGAACTTGTGTAGCCTCAGTCTCAATGTCAGCTCTTGCTTGAAGGTAGATAGAGGATTCTGAAATGGGTTGGAGAAGAATGAATAAGAGATTTATTTCAGCTAAATGAAGAATTAATACAGATAAGGAACCACATGAGAAAATTTAAGTAACTAATCTAGATAATCTGGGTACAAAATAACTTTTTAAAAGATAAATTATATTAAAGTGTCTTGTGTTATTAGAATAACTATTTCACTTAACAGACAAAGTGATCTTCTAATTGGGAAAATCCAATGTAAAACTCTCCTGTAGGGCGACTGCAGGCATTTCATTTAGGACACACAAAACAGTGAAGGCAGCTACTGCATTTTTCTGCATAATTTTTCATGCCCTTGAATGTACAAACCAAACAAGATGAATTGGGAATGAACAGTGCCCTCTGCATTAGAAACAGAGGCTCTCAAAGGCTGAACAGGAGCTTAATAATCATCTAATTCAACTATCCAGTATGAAAGAGTGGATCTTCACTCTCTTAAAATAATAAAATACCATCTTACAAAATTTGTATCATTTTAAACAAATCAAGCTGAGAAACAAATGGGCCAGAAATGTCAACTTTTTTTTTTTTCTTTGCAAGCAGGGGGAGAAAAGGAGGGTTTTTTACTCCATGGAAGCTTGTGTAAGTTCTTTAAACAGGATGAATTTAAGACTAACAAACCTTGGCAGCAAGAGGGTTAAGTCTTTGAGGTGTTACATTTTGAAACATTCTCTGATCCTTATTCTCTAGTGCTTGGCTTGGTAATAGAGTTCAAAGGTGAGGTTCAAAGCAAATACAAAATAGCAAAAGGAAAGAGGAACAGAGTACAAGATGGAGAGGGAATCTTATTCCGTTAAAACTGTCTTTAGGGCTTTGTAACAAGACTCTTGGTCACCCTGGATACAGTTGGTTTTACCTCTCTTAGAGAGGTGAATGCGGCTGATATTGCCAGGCCAAACTTTAGAGAGAGTAAACGTTACATAAACTACCACCAATCTAGCCAAGAGCAGGCTTAACAGATAGCACAGTAATTCTTAAAAAGAAGGCAAAAGGGAAGGAGATTTGGAGAGAAATGGAATTTTAATTTTAACCATCTACCTTATTTCCCACTGAGTAGTGCTGTGAATTTCTGAAAGTAGTAGAAACATCTTCTGATTTCCACTCGGACGATCTCCCAGGCACAGCGACTGTATTTCTTATCTTTCAGGAAACTGACTACCCTGTGGAAATATCTCCTCAGTTCTAGATGGGTCAGCTGGAGCATCATAGCTCCTGGGTGTTTCCTTTCATCCTCTTCCCTATCTTTCTTGTCTTCATTTTCCTTCTCTTCTTCCAAGCATTGTTCCAGATACTGCAATTGCTGATCAAGTCCGGTTTGGATTTGTTCCAGGTGTTTCTCTTCCCAAGTGGGTTGGAAGGTGGATGGAGTGAAGATGTTGAAGGCCAGCATGGACATTTCATAGAAGGCTTCTTTGATGCCTCTTTTCAGAGGCTGGGTATATGACAGGATCTCTTGGGGCAACTCAAAAGCTTTCCTTTCCCTTAGACACTCTGCAGGAAATGAATTGCTCATAGTGCTCAGAAGTCTCAGGTTTTGCCAGATGACTCTACGCAGGTGAATGTGCAACAAGGTGCAGTCCACAGAGAGGATGCCAGTGATGAACAGACTCACAAGGCACACAGGCCACAAACACTTCCGAATCACATCAGGCGTGGTGTTCATTTTTCTTCCGAGCCAAGAGATTCACAAGACTCACAGTTCACGACAATGGTTTAGGGCTTCAGTATGCATTTGTGTGCCTTTTATACACCTGAATATCTTCAGCGGGGAGGAGTCTTCTTATTTGTTATTTTATAGTTCTCAGGGTTTCAGCCCCTTTACCTGTCAGTCTTTTTCGTTCGTTCTTTCTTTTTTTTTTTTTTTAGATGACTCCACTGACTTTGGAAATTCCATCCCAGTGCTATAGAATCGTCATAATAAGACTGATGCAGAGCATCACCCAACTCGATTACATAAGAGAAAGCAATCCTCCAAGAAAATTCGTTTTTGTACCTGGCCTTATAGCCAGACATGTTGTCTCATCAAGTTAATCATAGGCATTGACTAAATGACTATGACTATTTGATGGTAAGGCTAATCTTGTTAAATTAGTCTTCTATACTTGGATATTTTCTCTTTTTATTTTATTTTTCTAGGTCTCAAAAAAGATAAAAAAATAGAGTTGGTCAGTTGATCATGGCACTTATCAAATAGTAGGACTAAGCCAGCCTGGTTTTTTGTTTCTTTTAGAAACTGTTGATATTCTCCGACTATCCTTTCTTTTACTTAAAACCGAGCCAGCACTTTCAGCCCTGCTTAGCATTTCATATACCTCTGATATATTTCATAGAAGTCCTCCCAGCAGTTATATATTGAGGAATATTTTTCTGCTTCATTAACTTCTTTCTTATAGTATCATAGATTTATTTTACTTTTAGATATGGTTCAGACAGTATTTTAAAACCTCCGTTTGGCTATCTTTCCTTCTTTGGAGATTCTTGACACTGTAAAGGTTTGTTTGTTGCAGTTTGTTTTTCATTGAGGAGGTGTATGAGTAGGTGGTTACCCATTTTAGCAAAGCTACTTTACACCTGGATCAATATCTCTGTGGTAATGATGGCTAGCCACCACTTTTGATTTTCCCTTTGTTTGATCAAATACCCTTCTTCTGGTTATGGTCTAGGCAAATGGATTCCTTTCTCCAGGAATGTGAAGTGGAATGTCATTAAATAAGGCTAGCTTAATTATCTTAAAAAATGCATTAATTTTTAATAAAGTCATTTTAGAATTGTAAGTAACCATAGTTCCACAAGCATGGCAGACTTTTCTTGAAAATTTGGCTGAAATTGTTATTGTTTAAAGCTGTTGACTGTACCAAAGGCTAATTGTGAACAAGTGAAATTTCTTAAAATCCTGATTTTTAGATAGGTTTCCAATGAAAAGAAAACTTACTACATATGTTTTTACTCTATATTCTCTCCCTCCCTCTCTCTCTCTCTCTCTCTCTCTCTCTCTCTCTCTCTCTAAATTCTGATTTCAAAGATTTTGTGGAATGACTAACTTGGAAAAATAATTGGGGAAAAAGGGATCTTTCATATAAGTTGACACTAACTTTGTATACAGCAAAATGGTGATATGTATCAGAAGCCTTAAAAATGTACATAATCGTTGACTCAGTATTTCTCTTACTAGGAATTTATGCTCAAGAGAAACTCATGAATGGCTTTAAACACTTAGCTGTCAGGAAGTTTTTCACAGCAGAAAATGAAAAGCAATTGAAATGTTTAGCAAGAGGTACTTGGTTAAGTAATTCATCAGTTAAAATTTCTGTACAACCATTAAAAATTATGTTGCAGGAACATATTTGTTCACTTGAATAGATTTACTTTGTAGCCTAAAAATAAGCTTATATAGTAGTATATAGAGTCTAATACCATATTTGTTATATATTTACATATGTTATATATTTAAAAATATGGATGTGAGTGCAGAAAGCATCTACAAAGATATATGCTACAACTATTTTGTCATTTCTGACTGGAAAAATAATGGGTGATTTTTATTTTTATATTTTTATTTACTCAGGTTTTCAGCAAGCATTTCTTTATTTAATAAGTCAAACTATTTTTAAAATAAGGTACATTAAAAATGAAAAATTATTCTATATCTTCAGTGGGACCAATACTACTTTATTTAAACATTTCAATTCTAGAGTATATACTTCAAAAGGAAATGTGAATTTTATCTAACACTCAGTTCCAATACAGTTGATATGCATAACACAGACTACACAGAAGTTCAATGTACTATTCTTGCAACTTTTCATTTAAAAATACATGGGTTAATATAAATAGACATATATATTTGTCATTATACACACACAGCCTCGATAAAGTGTAAAGCACCTTTGAGGGCCAGACCTTCTTATATGTACGTCACAAAACTTCTAACTAATAGCTGTTGTTAAACATCTTTAAGTTCATGTATTTTCTGCCATTACAATTTTGTCCATTTATTTCCTTCACTCCAAATTTCCTCCTTTTATAGTCATTCCACATCATATCCTCATTTGTTCACAACTGTATTTCTAGCACTTAGCACATGCCAGTCATGCACTAGATTTTGAAGATGGAGGAATAGGATACATTCTAGAATCTCAAGGAGTCATGATTGAAGAAGCAGACATGTTCTGAGTGTGTTCAGTAGCAGGGGTAATGGATGGGTCTTCCCTAGAATATGGACCTCATTCACTATGGCCTATAAATGTTAATTGATGCTGAGGTTGACAATATTCATGACAAAGAAGAAAAGATGATTGAATGCAAATCTTCGCCTCTCCTACCATTAGGATTGCCTAATTTAGCAAATAAAAATTGGAACAGCCATGCAATATTTGGGATGTACCTACAAAATCATTTGTTGTTTATTTGAAATTCAAATTTAACTGGGTTTCCCCTATTTTACTTGACAATCATATTTACCATGCCAGCTCCCATTGATCTCTTAGAGCAGAACTCAGATATGAAGTTCTCTGCAGGAAGCTTTTCTTCTGTTAACCATGCACCTCATGCAGAGGCACATTGAATTGCATTTCTCTGCACTGGCTTTACTTGTGTACATGTCCCTAACAACTGTGCACACCCCAAAGAGGGAACCTACTATATTATAACAAAACAGTGCACACACATACACGTATGCTCACACATAATGTCTCTGATCAGAAGCATTACTGGGTGATCCGGCATTAGTCATACCTCTGTTCTGTAAAATCCATACCATCAGAAAATATCTCAAAATATAATTAGAAAATTGAAAAGAATGACTGTGTAGGGAAAATTTGTCACAACTGACCAGTCTGTCTTTGGCAAGTTATGTGTAGATACGGCTAATGTTTCCATGATATCTGTTCTTATTTCTCTAGCATGTCTTGAGATTTTTTACACGTGGTCAAGCTTTCCTCAGAGGGAAAGATGATTTTAAGGGGCTGCCCTATTGTCAGTGGAACTGTGGGAAGTCTATGGATATTACATGGTTAACAGTAATGGGCAGGGCACAACTCATTTCACAAAACAGATATGAGACATTTCAGTCTAGACATGATGACTGTGATTCAGCTCAGGAACATTTGGCATCTTCTGGTAAGATTTTTTGCTGTCCATGGAGAGGCAAGTTTCAAACCAGCATTTGAGAGTAATGTGTTGATCATCTATGTTACTCAGTGATTTACATGAGAGTAAATCACTCCATTTGGGGTCAGAAAGTGATTAAAGCCAGTAGAGAGCTCAGAGGTGGGAAGCCTTGTGCCCCTGTCTGGCAGTGCTTTCCACAGGACATGGAGACAACAGTCACCATGAAGTTGCATGCAGCTGTGTTAGCCCCAGACCGACCCTGAGCTCTAACAACTTGGCATTTCTCTCATTCTCCTTGGTCACACATTGGACTTGCGTCTCCTGTGGTCCCCTTCTTGGCTCTTCTTCTCTCAGTGGTGTACCTGTTGTAGAAATGCATAATGACTACATAAGTAAAACATGGATATGTCCATACTGTAAAAATTCAAACACTTCAAATAAAATGAAAGCTTGGCTTACCAGCTGAGTCTCACCTGATGCCACTGTCCTCCCAGGCAGTAACTATAGGTATCAATTTGGTGTGTGTTCTTATTTGATATCTGTCTCCACACTAAACACTAAGTTTTATGAATGCAAGTGCAACAACTGGCTTGTTTGCTGCTCCCTCTTGAGCACCCAGCAGACCTCAGAGAGATCAGGGAGACCTAGATCACTTCCATTGGTAATATGCAGAGTGGAAGCTTGGGGACTTATATATATATATATTTAATTGCCAAAACTGGATTATAAAAATTGTAATATGCTTTGAAGTTTAATTCTGTAAGTAAATCTCTGTGACTGTATATATAATGTCACTTGACAAGAATGTAAAAGATCTACATTATAAACCCTTCATGAATATGAGGCCCAGGATAAAGGGGTCACCAGACCTGGATTAGAAGGCACCTGGAACATGGTAGGTACTCAATAATTATTTGTTGGGTGACTAAAAGAAGATAAGGAAGCCACGTATCTATAACAGTGAAGTTATTTTGTGGTTTAATTATTTTGGCATAGGGACTTGGGGAGGAGAGAGTCAGGTGTTGGGGATAGTTGAGTTCACAGAACGGTAGATGGCAGCTCAAGTATCCATTCAGTGCTTCTCTTACTCCCCTTGTTGTTCTTTGGGATTCCCTGAGGCTGGGTAGGTCATGAGAACCTTTACTCTAGTGGTAACACATAGTTTTATATTGTCTGGTTGATTCACCTATCTTTCCCTCCAGGCAAGGAATGTCTTGCCCTGGTTGGGTGGCTCGGTTAGTTGGAGCATCATCCTGTACACAAAAACAGTTATGGGTTCAATTCCCGATCAGGGCACGTGTCTGGGTTATGGCATCAATCCCTAGTCAGGGGGCATTTGGGAGGCAACTGACTGATGTTTCTCTCTCTCTCTCTCATCCCCCTTCCTCTTTCTCTAAAGTCAATAAACATATTCTCAGTTGAGGATTTTTAAAAAAATGTGTCATACTGAGTTTTGTTTCCATGGTATCTCTTACCTAAGACACTAACTGATCATTGAATAAAAGACTGCATGTGACTTCTTAGGGTTCTCACATTTGGGTATTAACCTGTGAT